TATTGCTGGTGGTAGGGCGATCGGAGAGATGTTTGTCCGTTTTTGCGACCGCTAGGCTTCGAATAAGACACGCGATAATGGTCCGCAGCCTTACGTAGGGATGAAACTTCTCGCGTAGTATAAGCATGTAATGTCTTAGCTAGCAGATCCTCTTCATCACGAAGGTTTTTACCCGTTTTTGGTGGGTAGGAATACGCGTAAATTGAAAAAGTAGAGAATTTGCATTATGGCTGAGAATTGCATTATGGCTGAGGGACAGCCTCGGGTAGGCGGTCCTGTGGCACGCCTACATAGGTATGGGCAGGAAGTTGAGTATCCGCAGCTTTCGGGAGGGCGAAGCATACTGGCTTAGGCTCCAAAGCCATTTAAGAGGGCAAGTACCCCCTTTAAAGTTTCATTGCTCCACCACGAGGCAAGTAACGCCTTTATGCAATGCCGGGGAATTTGGCTATCCAAGTGCGATCACCTGGCGCCAATGAGACGGGAAAATAGATTCCTGGCACACGCGGAGCGACATTGAACAAGAGACCTCCATAGATACTGTCGCGGCCTCCATCGACACCCATCTTCTCTTGTGTCTTTTCCTCTTCCTAGAGCTCCCGAGGCTCCCCGAGATCCACCATCCAGCCCCACGTGAAAGAGTAAAATCGGACAAATAAATGGCAAAAGTGTCCCTGTCCACGCCACAAAATGCACATAGGGAGTCGAACGTCATCCTTTTCGGCCTTTTTTTCACCATGCTGGTTTATACGGCACCTGGTCTGAGATATTCATTAACAGAGTATTTAAGCCCGTAGAAAATACAGACGAGGATACTGTATAGATCCCATTCTTCCGCTCCTCAGTAGTCGCAGTGTAAGCCATTTGTTTTCAGAAGTAAGCCTCCTTGCTCCTTGAAATTACCTTAACACTGACGATATAGTGCAACTCCTTTATCTACTCCTGATCCCAGCTTTAGCGGCTGCAAAAACGCATGGCCATCCCAAGTGGCTCGATTATTCTGGCCAGTGCGACAATCCAAATGACACGACTGCGTGTACTGTACAGGATGTCGCCGAGAAGCTAAGGTCACAATGTTCGGCTATGGGAGGTCAACTATACCCTACCAGCACTGAGCAAACACCGTCTGAATTCTCGTCATCAAAGTTCCTATTTGTCTGTCGATGTGTCCATGGTGACACGAAGGACTTCACATACGCCGATGGAACTTTCACTGCATCTGCTACTGTTGGGGATGATTGTAACAACTAGGCTTGTGTGATGAATTGAGAGATAATATTTTACCACTAAGGCCAGGCTGATTCAGCGTCCGTCCTATCCGACCCCATATGTTGTGGTATGGCAAATCGGGTCAATCCGGAATGCCCGTGTCGTAACATGCCAATGTTAGCCGCTGAGGCTATGAGACGCTCTCAACAGCGGCCTTCTGGATAGTTCTTCAATTATTAATGTCAATTAGTTTCCACAGTACTAGTGCGTAAGGATATCCCAGCTAGGTCTCGCCAAAACCCGCCCCAAACCCCAATCCACGGGTTGGGTTGGGTCTTATCTGCTAACGGCTATTGAGTCGAAACCGTATCGTGATTGCCATGGAAGGAAAGTTTTGTGTTCAACAGACACTTCAACACTGCCCGCGCTATCAATTAGTGTGAAGATGCGGAGGCTCCAGATCATCCCACGGGGTTCGATGTAGCTCCCCTGGGAATACACTACGCTGCACATCAGCACATCAACATGTCAACACACCAACTCTCACCATCTCTCAACAACTCTCATCAACACTCACCAACACTCACCAACACTTACCAACACTTACCAACACTCACCAAAACTCACCAACGCTTACCAGCATCACAACAAACATCCCACCAAAACAAGCGTCCTAACACAACAGTCTCGTATCCGTTTGCTCTACGCCAGAATGGGAGTGCCAACTCCGTTACGGCGAAGGGACTATCGGACCGCAAACTATCAATGCAGAGCAATTGGGAATACGCCCTTCGGTAACAAGGACACTTCAGTTGTAATTTATAATTTTGGGCATTAAATTTGGGATGATCTATCTAGGGCTCATTCTATCTATCCGATACTGGTCCTTCGGAATACAAAGCAGACGGGGAAGATGTTGGGCAGGTCTTTGCTTCTTCGAATACTCTTGAATACTCGAATACTGGTCCCCAGCACCACAGAGAGGGAGCACATTTTTACAGTCACAGGGCTCATTGGCTGTGAGAGAGCGCAAATCTTACATCGCTGGGCTCGTGGCAGCGACAGCCGTGGTCACGGAAACTCTCAAGCCCGCAGGCAAGAGAGGGACACTATGATGCATCACAGTGTGAGGACCAAAGTGTGAGGATGGAAGTCCTGGAAATTTTGCGCTGGGAATCCGGCCCCTTTCATAATTTTTCGGTCAAGTCTCTACCGAGGAACCATTGCGCCGAGGGTAGCGAAAATCCACACTCCTTTGGTTGGCGTTGGAGCAAGCTGAACGACGTTGAAACGGCTTTTGGAGACTTTGTGGTCTACAGACTCAAGTTTCGACCTGTGACATCAATGACCCTGAGCTGTTTCGCACATCAATCGCTTGACCAGCTTCTCCTCAAAGTCTTAGTCCAGTCCAGGCCAGGCTAACGCACTGCTGTCGGTATTACTCTGAAAGTCTTCAGGTGGGCTTGATGTTGGCCTTGAACCAATGGTAAGGTACGGATCATGTAATACCGGACTCGCGGCAAGGCTGTATTGAGACCCCATTTGCATCAAAACACTGATTGCGGTTTCCGGATATGAACCACCGATTTCGGAGGCGGAAGGAGATCCGAGCTCAGCAGACGCCAACCCCTAGGTCGGTTCATTGGTCGATGCTTCGCCCGGCAGTGGTCTGTTCAGCTACCAGGTCAAACTAGCTCGCCAGGGGGACCGCAACGTAGAGGCGGTGCCCTTCGCAGTCAGCAGATTACTTGATTTCCTGATAGAACTATGGTATCCTAGAGAAAAGGGTTATTTACACCCCGAGAAATGAATCGTGAATTTCCAGGGGATATTAATTTTGGAACATACTGTGTGATATCGAAGGATTTGCCGTATTGAGTATGGCTCCTTGCTTTCCAGCGGTCATGCCTCGACTAGGTGCCCAAACACGGCAGATACACCGACTCAAAAGGTGCGAACGGATCCACATCAAGCTAAGTTTCCCTGCTAATCAGACCCAAGCCTTAGTGTGAACTAACCCGCAGCAGCAGTGACACCTCCAGCCACTAGTCTTGGATAGGTTGCTGCCTACTGTCAAGTCACGAAGCCTTGGTTTGCTCTTTGAGTAAACAGTGGCCCCCACACCCAATGCAGCAGTACTTAAATAGCCACCGTCCCGGTGGTACATATTTTATTTTGGACTCCATTCTGGTGCCCTTGTTGAAACTCTGTCTTATCATTATTGAACTAGGCAGTGATTTGCCAACGCTCTACAGCTTGGATGTTGCTCAAACGGCTGAAGGCGATAGGTAGGCTATGTACTTTACTCTCCTAAATACCAGCACATTCTGACTGATTGGATTTCCTAAGTCGCCGCACACCTTTCACTTTCCCAGCAGCCAACTGAGTTCAACAAGCCCGACTCAAAGAGCGCGCTCTTAGGGTGCGTTGAGAGATATGGCCCAGTCAACGGAGAACGCAGGGCCCCAGCCTAAGATTATTGGAACAAAACCCAGTCGTGATGAAAATGACTCTTTGAGTGTGGATGCCATGCGTCATCTTGCAAAGAGTTATATCAGACACGGCCAATTCCAAGAGGCCAAACATATCATCCAGAATATGGAGGTGCGAGAAAAAGCCGACGACCCCTTTTGCTGTCAGACCTTTGAAAGCCAAAGTCTTTCTTCAGTCGGCATACCAGAATCAAGGCAGCACCGAAGATGCCCTAGAAACCCAGTGGGAAGCCGTCGGGTCGCTAATACACAATGTTGAGTTGCTTCGGTCGATGATTGGCAAAAGTAACCCTCTGTCTCTCTTTGTCTCTATTGTTTCACCTATTTTATGACACATTCCACGATCCGTGACAGAGAGCAGTCGCTCAACAAAATCGCCCGATACCCATGGTGAATGGATTTTCTCAGCCGGCGCCCTGACCCAGTTACCTTTATCTCTTTTCCCGATGATAATTTTGTTCCGAATCACATTGGACAAGCAACTCACGTTTGTCCTTCCCTGTCAAATATGTGCGCTTTACGGTTTGTAGCAGCTTCCTGGACATATCAAAAAGTACCCAGCTCTTTGCCGAGGAGCCGTGTCATAGCTTTAAAAATTGAATGTATGAGTTTCCCAGCGGTGATTCCAAAGACTATGTTCTCGAGTGGATCCCTGTTCCACAATAATTGCGTCACGGACTTCTCATTGCCTTTATATACATATTTGGTCTGCCAGAATAACAGGAAGTTACTAGCGATAAATGAAACAGACAAATATCCTTAGGGTCGTGCATGCAGAAATTCCGTCGTAATATATGTCTTGAAGTCACAACCTTTCTGGTCCTGAAAGCCTTAACCGTTGAGTATTTCAGTAATAACCTGTCTATACAGTGTAAAACGCAGTGAGGTAGCCAGGGTAAAGACAGTTTGAGGATCGGTGTGTTGTACATGTAACCCAAGCTGTCTCTATTTTCAGTAGAACAAAATGTATTCGATAAAAGCTCACTTGATTTCATGGACTACATACATCTGGTTCCCCCTAACTGTCTTTCAACGACGGAATGAAACGCAACGACAGTGGGCGGGCCGGGGGGGGGGGGCGGCGGGAACCGCCCGCATTGGCTCGCACCAGATAGCTTAGCTCGAAAGTCCGCTGCGATGGCTATATCTGTCCGCTTACTAGCAAGTGCAATTGAATCCCTTCTCAGGAATGTAAGACATCCAAGGACTGGCCTAAATAATGAGTCAGTGCCTCTTAGTCCATAGTCCCAAACCAGCTACAACCAAAGGCTTGTAAACTGACCATTGCAATCCGCACGCCTAGCCAGAGGCATCTGTGTCTTCTTGTTTCCACCTCATCATTTGAAACTCCGTACCATAGTCCATCCTTGAAAAAAGGGTCGGGTAATATGATTGACTCCACACTTGACCGCATATCAGATAATCTTCCGGTAGCCATGGAGCTGCTCCATCGTCCCCAATTGGGAAAGACTCCTCTTCGATCTTCAGAAAAGCAGCATCGGGCGTGAAAAGGCCATTGAGAAATCTAGTGATTGCTCTCCAAGGAACCGTTGTTCCCAGATTTTCCATGAAAGGACGATGAACGGAGATGCAGAGAAATGCCAGACAGATATGGATCCCTGGGACTGTGTCGTGGCTGCCACTATACCGAAGAAGGACCGAGAGAGTTTCAAACGTAAGGTAAATTCCCTGAAGAACTTGGTTTAGTTGTAACTCGAGTTTTGGTCGGTAGCACCATTGCTTACATCTGCTTGGCCCGATTTATTCGCATGGTGAGTACGGCCACTCTCGCTTTGGGGGAATACCACAGTCGTAAATGCAAGTTCGCCGTAACGAAGTACAGAGGCAAAATTGCAGGACATGATGTACACTATGTGTTGTCCTTTGTAATCATATTTTTGAATGTACGATGGTAAGAGCGACAAGAAGCCATTTGCCAAAGTCATAAACTGCCCATCCGGGTCACCCGTAAGTAGCACATAATGCGCAGCGATGAATGAAGTGGCCATGGTGTTATGTTGAAGTGCCAAAGTGTCCCAGCGATCGAAGAAACGGCCAACAGTTACCCGGCTGTGGGGGAATGGCTGGACACTGATCAATGCCTTGGTAAGATAAAAGAGGGCCTTAAGGGGATCAGATCGTGAGCAAGCCGCAAGACGATGTTGGAGTTGCCCACTATCGGGATTTCGGTCCGCGGCCTTTTGGTACCAATACCTTGGTATGGCTTCCCAATCTTTCCTATCCGACTTTTCCACAACCGCACGATAGAGTGCCAGGTCACCCAGCTGTTCAAACAATGAGTCCCCAAGTGCTGAATTAGTCAGGACTAACTGCTTCAGGATTGACGAGACGGTTTCGATGAAGAAGATAATGTACCCTAAAGTTTGTGGGAGGTTCTGTTGTAGAATATCCAACAAAGAACGAATTCCGTACCGCCACATTCGACCAGGCATGGCGTATTTCTCAGGAAGATCTCTGATACTCGGGTTGGCGGATGGATGCTGGCACATAAGGAAAAAGCGTTCATGCTCGTAAAGAAGAATCAAGTGTAGGGTGATAAGGCGTTGCCATCGGGCATTAGGAAGGTGCACGGTGGATGATGCTCGGTTCTGCTCAAACCAAAGGCACTTTTTCTCACATTGCACAAGCCTTGTGTATTGTTCTTTAGCAGCAAGGAAGAGCTTTGTTTGCTCAGAAGTCCCTGTCACCATCTCATCTCGAAATTCCGATGACAGCGAGCGTGAACCCATTTGGGACCAAAATCGGGTTGCTGATAGGTATTCTAGGACCATACCAGGGGTGACACTGATCGCGGCAGTTTTCGAAGGCAATTCTGAAGCAAATCTTCGTCCTCAAGACAGTTAGCTGACCGCCTACTATCCCAATTCTGTTGCAGAGTAGGACGAGAAAACATACGAAGGTTTGGAAGCCTCCTAGAATAGTGATTCAATCCAAATGAAAGGTGGGTGTAACTGCAACGGATTGAATGGGAAGGAAAATGAGGTGGGCATTAGTTCAAGGAGTGGAGTCGGTAAGAAGGAAAAGCCCTGGTAAAGCACCTAAAGGAACCGGACCACATCACGGTCTGCTGTGCCCCAATCCTTGATCCTTTCAGGGGATCTAATTATAGGCCATGCAATGTGATAACACTAGTGGATGGTTGCTATAAGCGTAATTTACGGTGGTGTTCCCGTCACTCCTAGGAACATAGCCCTGGTCATACAGTGTGCCCAGGTGGAGATTTCCCAGAGGTAACATGCGGCTGACCTCGCCTGGCCAGATTGTATGTCATTGAACATTTGAATTAGCGGTCAGATGTATATCATATTGATGCAGATCAGTTCATATCGCGAGTGATAATTCGGCAGCAGCACTAGCCCGACCCGTGCCAGTACTGCAGATTTTATCCGCTCTTTTTTCCCAAGTCCTTGATCCTTTACAAGGTATCCTGTTCCATTTGAGATATGAATTCTGTCTCACAGTACTTGTGGTGGGCAGATCTAGTTAGTCTGCGCACATGCGGCTATTTCTTCGGTGGACTGAGTGTTGTGCAAAATCTGCTCTCTTTACCCATGTAAATAGGTGGCGAATTCGCATGTTAATTCTTCCGACACAGCTATACCATTAGGAAGACGAAAAGCAATGGCAGGGATAGACAGGCTTGAGTCTCTGCGCGTCTTACGAAGGGGTAGTAAACAATTCAAACCTTTTTGTCATTTCCGTTGGATGACCTGCTTTTACGGGTACCACTGATTCCAACAAAATATCCATACTTAGATACTGGAAGTCGGATGTATAGTATCCAGTTCGAAATATCACATTAATTCCTATAGGAGGTACCAAAGTTGAAACCGAGTTAAAAAGGTTAGAAACCAAGACTGTTTAGTTTGGAGACTGATTACGAATCAGCACTCCTGCTCGAGGCCAAAAAGGCGGAAAAGGAGCGAAGAGGGGACTATATCCTGGCCGCGAAGCGGACAGAGTTCTGTATTGTGGAAAGGAAGAGGGACAGACGGAGGGTAGAATCTCTCTACAATTAGGCAAAGAGGACGACGACACCAGATCCAGTATGTTTCTTGCAGCTGTTTCAATCTCCAAGCTCCGCATAAAGCCACGGATCCTGGAGTAATTTATTTGCAGTACTTCGTTCTTCTGGGTGCCATTTTATCATCCTTTGTACAAACTCGATGAACATCCTCTTATCTTCATTATGTATGTTGCGTATTGAATTTTCAAAGTTGAAGTCCAACGGTGCAATAGTTGTGCCTTTAAATTGTGCTATTGAACGAAGTCAGTGATTACTTGCTGAAACAGAAAAGAAAAGAATATACTCACCATCAGATTCGTAAAAGAGATCAGTTCTTGTTCCTTTGTCTAAAAGCTCCTTTGGAGGAGGGCCTAACAATGCAGGGTATGCCAAGGTGGTTAAGCTCATCATATCCTTGAACTTGGAGGGGGTCAACTTCCTTGAATAGCTTTTTGCCTTCAGGGACATCCCATAACTAAGGAAACAATGTTAGCTTTAACTTATATCGTAACGTATTGTGTAAGCGAGTGGAACATGTAAGCGAGTGGAACACCTACGCGTTAGTTTCGCGTCATGTTCATTACATCAATTTTCAACCACCCACAATGCCACCAATTCGCTCTCAAAGCTCTCAAAAACGTATAGAGCAAGAGGGTAGGATCTTATTAGCTATTCGCTCTCTTCAGACCGATGAAAAATGCTCAATTCGTCAATTGGCTCGCGATTTCGACGTCCCGCTGAATACGCTCCGTCGCCGCATGGCAGGTGTCAAAAGTCGCGAAGAAACCCGCGCCAACAGCCATAAATTGACTTTTTTGGAAGAGGAATCCCTTGAGAATTGGATTATCTCATTAGATGAGCGTGGAGCTGCTCCTCGGCCAAATACCGTACGAGAAGTGGCCAATTTGCTACTCGCGGACCGTGGGACTGACCCGACCGAGACAGTCGGGGTGAAATGGGTCTATAACTTCGTCCAACGGCATCCTAACCTCTCGACTCGATTCTCGAGGTCTTACGATTACCGGCGAGCTCAATGCGAGGACGTCAAGATGATTACAACGTGGTTTAACTACCTTCAAAGTACGATTGCGAAATACGGTATCCTTGAGGAGGATATCTACAATTTCGACGAGACTGGCTTCGCTCTCGGCCTTACAGCCACTGCAAAAGTTGTGACGAGGACTTCGTACGGTCGGCGAGCTCTTTTACAGCCTGGAAATCGCGAATGGGTGACGACAATTGAAGCAATAAGCGCGTCGGGGTATACGTTACCGCCATGCGTCATTTTTAAGGGTAAGGTCTTTATGAAGGCCTGGTTCGGCGATACAGACCTACCGGCGACTTGGCTTTTCGCAGTTACTGAAAAAGGATGGACTACGCATTCTATAAGCCTTGAATGGCTTCAAAAGGTCTTTATCCCATCGACTATAAGCCGTACGAAAGGAGTATATCGTCTCCTCGTCCTTGACGGACATGGCAGCCATCTTACGCCTCAATTTGACGAAATCTGCGCTCAAAATAATATCATCACGATCTGTATGCCGGCGCATTCATCGCACCTTTTACAGCCTCTCGATATCGGCTGTTTTGGGGTATTAAAACGGGCTTACAGTGAAGTGGTTGAGTCCCAGACAAGGCTTGGTATACACCGCGTCGATAAGAATGACTTCTTAGAGGCATACAAGAAGGCCCGAATCAAGGCATTTACAGAGAGCAATATTGTGAATAGCTTCGCCGGCGCTGGTATCAGGCCATTCGACCCGCAGCACGTTATTTCGAAGCTTAATGTCCGCCTTATCACCCCCCCCCCCCACGACCTACTAGCCACAGTAGCGATTCAAGCCGCAATTTTACTCCAAAGACGCCGCGAACAGTGAAAGAAGTGAAGAGACAGGCCTCATCTATTCGGAAGCTCGCTGCCGATGATCCTAGACGTCTAGGTGATGCGATAGACCAAATGGAGAAAGGCTGTCAGCTTGCTATCCACAGCTTCACTATCGTGAGGCAGCAAATCAATGAATTGCTTGCCGCCAATGCGAAAGTGACGCGTAGAAAGCGGCGTACGAAAGCTCAAATAGCGCATGAAGGTAGTCTACTAGTTCAAGAAGCAATGACGCGTATTAGTGGACCGGGGCAGGTGGAAGAAGCTATACATGAGCAAGCCGGCGGAGCATCGCCGACACCTAATCAGACCAATGAGAGACGCCCACAGCGATGCAGTCTCTGTAAAACGCCTGGACATAAGAGAAATAGGTGCCTAGAGAGGTTTGAATAGCCTCAGTTTTAATGAATTCGTATTGTGGTTGAAAAATTTGAATAATAATAGTAGATATAGCGGGCGGGTGTTCCACTCGCTTACAGGTCCACTCGCTTACACAATACGTTATATATCATCCATGCATGTATTGCCTCTCTTGAATAGTCCAACAATCTTAGATTCTTAATCCTACTCTGCTCCTAGCTACTGCAATAACCAACTGTAGCTAATCAATTAATAAATTCATTCAACGAACTAACCAAACTAAGCAATAAATTCAACTAGTTAACTAAACAATATCTTTCATCAGCATCAACATCCTCATAGTATCTGCCCCTAAACTATGCCTTCGAACTCCCAAAAGATCTCTCCCTCCACTAAATAATCTCTCAACTGATACCTCTGAAGCTGGGATCGCAAGAAATTCCCTTGCAGCCTCTGCCATTTGAGGGTATTCGCCCTTATGGGTACGCCACCAATTGCAGAGCCAGTCTGGATCCTCTGCACCTGTGATAGTAACCCGAGGACTATCAAAGTACTGATCAATATCAGAAACAAATTGATATTCCTGAGGCTGTAGCTTTTTCAGCATCCATAACCGCATTGTTTTGCGATTGAGAGAATCTTCCTGAGTCAAGTCTAGAATTGACTGTGGATTCGAGTCTAAATTTGTCTGTGGAAGCGAGAATGGAATTGATTGTGGAAGTGGTGGATATCTCTTATGGAGCATCCGACGAGTCTCCCGTATAATCAATTGGGCAGCCTCTTGATCTACCATCTCATGAAGTATGAGATCACCTTTGAGCTGAGGATCAAGCATTAATGCCGTATAATAAGCTTCAGAGTTATCCATGAAGTCATAGTACTTTTGGTACTTCCTCATGCCTGCCTTTATTGCATTAGCAATATCATCATCATATCCCACTAAGGCATCATCCCGTAAAAGATCATGAAGCTTATAGTAAATTGGGACAGTGAGACTGATTTGTGGCGGCCTTGATATAGATACCAAGTGCGTCAAGTCATTAAAGGTTTTGAGAGCTTTATGAATCTGACTAAGTCGTTCCCATTCTGCATTGGTAAAGGGAGGAATTTCACCCTGTACAGCACAGAATCGATTAATCTGAGGTCGAGCTTGTATCCCATCATTAAGCATTCGAAAGGTAGAATTCCACCGTGTTTCTACATCATACTCGATGAATTTATCATCGAGCTTCATCTCATCACAGATTGACTTCCAGTGTTGCCTCCGTTGAGGACTGCGAGAAATCCAAATAGCAAGAATCCCGAGTTTAGCTAATGCTGATTGAGATGAGATCGATGGAGAGGTTGATGATGAGCTCGATTGGGAATTCCTGGATTGTAGATTATCACAGATCGAATTGGCCTCTGAAACACTTCCAGCTTTCAAGGAACGAAGAATATCTTTCACAATGAGGTTCAAGGTATGAGCCAGACAGCGAATATAGCTATTAGGTCCAGGGAATCGAATTGGTTGTAAATAATTCTGATTCTGTTCCAAAAGATACCATAACTCCGAAACCATTTC